TGAGACTACTCCTTCGGAAACTTGGTCCAGCCGAACATAACAAATATGTCAATCATATTCTACCAAAGAACTCCAGAGAACTCAACTTTGAAGAAACCGTTCAAACGTTAACCAATATTTTCGATGAACAGTTATCTCTCTTCAGTATCCGTTACAATTGTTTCAAGATATGCAAAGATCCAGGAGATGATATTCTCACCTATGCTGGTAAGGTGAATCGTGAATGCGAGCGATCGAAAATTCGATCACTTACGGATGACCAATTTAAATGCCTGATCTTTGTCTGCGGTCTCAAATCTTCAGTTGAGAGTGATATTCGTACCCGAATCCTTGCAGAGATTGAACGCAAACCGGATATGCCTTTACAGGAGGTAACTGCTGAGTGCCAGCGAATCATCAATCTAAAACATGACACGAAGTTGATTGAGGACGGTCAAGTTTATGAATTTACTTCTGTTCAGGCTGTCAAGTCAAACAATTCTCCGCAAGTCAAACACAAGCCTCCCACAAATTGTTGGTTTTGTGGGTCGTGGCATTTTGGTAAATTTTGCCCGTATAAAAGACATAAATGCAGTATCTGTAACAAGTATGGTCACAAGGAAGGATTTTGTCCCCCAGTGAAGCCTAAATCAATCCGATCTCACAATACGATGGCACAGTCACGAAAGTTTCGATCTCAGTCGACGAAACCTCAAATCAGCAGTATGTTCGCTACCTTCAAAGTTGACTTCGAGTCAAAAAGAAAGTTCGTCACACTTTCTATCAACCAGAAGCCAGTTCGACTACAATTAGATACTGCTTCAGATATCACAATCATATCTCCCTAAACGTGGCGGGCACTCGGGTGTCCACCTTATCAGAGAACGGAGCATACTGCAAGAAACGCGTCGGGTGACGTATTGAAATTATCTGGCCAGATTGAATGCGACGTAACTTTCCGGTCAACCTCGTTCCAAGGAACATGCTACATTACCAATCGTCATGATTTGAACTTGCTTGGTATTGACTGGATCGAAAAGATGAAACTCTGGGATGTCCCACTGAACTCAGTTTGTTCCAATGTACAGTGCTCAGATAGTCCTACCAACATGTTGATGCATCCGAACTCGACCGCAAAGGAGGACGCTGTGATCGCCGGCGTTTCTGTCGATGAAGACGTGTGCCACGTATTGATGACGGCAATAAACACTTTACCTGTCTCAGCCGACATGGTTCAACGAGAGACGCAGCGTGACCCGACATTACAGTCAGTTCAACAGTATCTGCGTTGTGGCTGGCCCTCGCGTATTGATTGTCCAGATTTAAAACAGTTCTATCAACGACGACATTCGTTATCCCTGGTCAATGACTGCATTATGTTTGGCGAACGTGTGGTCGTGCCTCGAAGTCTCCAACAAAAAGTCATGAGTCAACTACATTTTACGCATCCTGGTAGTGGCCGTAGGAAATCGTTGGCACGCTGTTACGTCTACTGGCCAAATATCGATCGTGAATTAGAAGTGATGGTTCGCCCATGTTCTCGCTGTGCACAGGCTTTGAAAATGCCTATCAAGACAGACCTACAGCCGTGGCCCAACCCAGGAAAGCCGTGGTCAAGAATCCATATAGATTTTGCCGGCCCAATCAATGGCAAACAGTTTCTCGTGGTAATCGACGCGTACTCCAAGTGGCCGGAGGTTTTCATTACGCAAAATACCACAGTGACGATAACATTAAATAAGTTGGTTCAGCTTTTCAGCAGATTTGGTGTTCCAGAGATCATCGTTTCCGATAACGGACCTCAGTTTACAGCTGAACAATTTAAAGTTTTGTGAGCGGCTAGGTGTTCAACATATTCGCAGCCCGCCTTACCATCCTCAGTCAAATGGACAAGCAGAGCGTTTTGTTGATACACTCAAGCGCGCACTTCAGAAGTCAAACGGGGAGGGATCGATAGAGGATGTATTGCACAATTTCCTCTTCATTTATCGAACCACAACCAACCCATCATGCCCAAATCAAACATCTCCCGCAAAAGTTATGTTTGGAAGAAGATTACGTACTACTTTGGATACAATTATCCCGATCCCATCAAGACGGAGCAAATGTGCTCGAAATGGTGAATTTTGGTTCAATAGACGTCATGGCACCAAGCAAAGAAGTTTCATGGTTGGTCAGTCGGTACTGGTTCATGATTATATACGGAGAGATCGCCCATGGGTTTCTGGAGTGATCGTTGGAAGAAAAGGCCAAGTCATTTACAAAGTCAAGGTTGGAGACCTTTTTGGGTCAGGCATGCAAATCAAATAAGAAATAGACTAGTTGGTAAACAGTTGAACGATTCCAAGTCCGCCGACATACAATTCGAGCTATTGATAAATACGACGGATCCGAAAACGTCACATGGCCAAAATAGTCGAAACAAAGGCAAAGTGTCCCAGCAGCCAAGGAGATCACAACGACAACCAAGACCACCAAGGTACCTACAAGTGATTCCGCGATACAAAAGCTACCGGTAGCCCTATCTTAAAAAGGGGAGGTGTTAGGAAGAGGCAAAACACATGCAATTATCAGGTCATCAGTCAAGTTATTATCGCGTTATTAACAAGTCGTTGACATGCAATTGTTCCTGCTTCTGATTGGACGCTTGCAAAATTCAAACTCTCAACCGGATTGGTTGACTTCCAGTCTACCTAATTTTCGGTATAAATACAGTCAATTTTGTCATAATAAATGAACCCGGCTTTACAGTTGATTCTCTTCGTGTTCTGCTTTACCAGTTAAATGGGTACTGGTGAGTAGTTAAGCAGTGACCGCGTGACAGAAGATCCAGCATCATAACAGCAAGTACTACTGGTTGGTGTGAGTTGTATACGACCGCTCATCTGAATTAATCAGAGGTGTAGGGTTTTATGCATTTAGGTCTTAACTGTTAGTTTATTTGAAAACTGTAATATAACATCAGCTTATTATGAAAAACAAATAAATAAATGTGTTTGCATTTTCAAACGTGCATGTGGATTTCGCGAAAGCATACTACCCCTTCACATTCGCAGCCTAAAGTTCTCTGTAAATATCTTTTAAGTATGTCACACTTTAAGTATGCCTTCAACAGCGTTGACTGCAAAGTAATTCGGAAACTGCTTCAACACATTTGGCTTGCCTCAAGTCTTTATCAACCTCATTCAGCAGCTGGCTACACGACAATGCCACGTGTCAGGTGATCCACAATGAAAAACACAGCGAGGCATTTGAAGTGAATACTGCCTATTATCACCGATGATATTCCTAGTTGTGGAGGATTGAATTCTCCGTTAGAAAACAGCAACACGTTGGACAAACAAGAAGACTATAGAAAATATGGACTTCGCGGATGGTTTATGTCTGATGTCATACAAATTGGAAGATCTAAAGGCGAAAACCAACAAACTGGCTGAAGAGGCTGCTAGTGAAGACAGGACTTCAGGTGTACATGGAGAGGATGGAGGTGATAATGATGACTAACCAACAGCAACAGTAAACATCACCAATCATCATCGACAGGATAAACTTGAAAGAGGTCACTTCCTGCATTCACTTATCCAGGAAGCATTGTTTCAACCACAGCCAGCTGAATGGATGATGATGTGAAAGCCAACAAGAATCGGAAACGCAAGATATGCCTACATCAATCTGAATCGGTTTGGAAGTCGTCTGTACTCCTCAGGATAAACAACAAGATTCAGATTTTCAACACTATTGTTAAGTTATTTCTTTTATACGGGTCAGAAACTTGGCGGGCACGTCACGAGCAGCATTTCCAATAGGTCGCGAACTTTCATCAACGGCTGCCTTCGCTCTATAGTGAAGATAGAGTGGCCAGAAATAGTTAGTAACAAGAAACTATGGGGACTAACAGACGGGGAACCTATTGCTTAACAAATATGCAGGAGAAAATAAAGATGGATCGGACACATGCAGCGGAGACTGTCGAATGACATTGCGCGCGAGGCCGTCGTTCGAGTGGAACCCGAATGCGAAACGGCGAGTTGGGCATGTGATTCTGAGGATGACATGGAGGAGATCGTGCGAGAAGGAGATCAGAGACGATGGGTAAACTAAAGTGGACCAAAGAGAATACGACAAAGGGGAGATGTGTTCCACAGGAAACCCAAGGGAACATTAATAATATCACATTAGCATATATGCTTATATATATATTTGATAAGGTGAGAATGAGGGTAGTTGAGTGTCTATTTAGCAGATGTGAAGAGGGTGTGAAAATGTACAAAAGGAACATATGACAGTGATAATAGTGAACTAATTATTAAAGCAAAAGCAAACTAAAAGTAAAATTGAAATTTTTTTAAATAAAATTTTTTTACAGGGAACGACAAGTGAAGAAGTTAAGACCATGGTAAAATAAGAGACTGGACAAACTTTCTCTGTATGCACAGTTTGGGGTTGTATTGACGAATTACCAACGCCTCCACCATACAAAAATACCGAAACTTGACGCCCTTTGTACCATTTGGTCTCATCTTGTAGATGATCTTGAAAGACGACTCTCGTTGAGCTACGTGACCTGAGTTCAGCAAGTTCTGGAGAATTGAGCTAGTAGTTGTCTTGCATTGTCCTTTTGCTAACCATGCCGGATAATGTTCAGAGATGCGTTTGGAAAGTGTGGGCGATTTGTGCGGCCGATATAACTAGCTCCACAAAAGGAGGTGAATTTATAAACACATATTGAAGTGGCCCAAAGCTGCATTTCATCCTTCACACATCCATTGATCATTTGTCGGCCGTAGAACTCTGTATACAGGAAAAGTTTGTCCAGTCTCTTATTCTACCTTGGTCTTAACCTCTTCACTAGTCGTTCCCTGTAAAAAATCTTAATTTTTCTTAAATTTTCAATTCTACTTTTAATTTACTTTTACTTTAGTAATTTATTCACTATTATCACTCTCATATATATATATATATATATATATATATATATATATTCTATTTTGATTTTATATCCCCTGTTTAACTTTCTACAGGTTGGTCGTCATTTAATTGTTCGATTTTATGCAGAGTCGAACAGTCGTTCACGTAGTCGGATTAGCAATACAAGTGTTGTCTCTTCTGTAGCCACACCACCACAAGGAATGTCAAATAACTCCCTGTACAGCAGTTCATTTTCATTGGCTGGTGCTTATTCGTCTACACTGGAATTAACAAATGAAAGTTCAAATAATCCTACTAATACTGTTTCGAACAGGTATACTTTAGCACACGATGAATCAACTGGACTTTTGAGTTCTTTCAGAAAACGTTTAGAAATCCCGTCTATCGGAAGTAATCTAATGTCTAGAGGTTCCTCAATTCTCAGTTTAAATGCAAAACAATCATTGGCAGATTTATCAGTTGATTTGTCGAATACAAATCAGTCAGTGTCAGCGAATACTTCAAGTGTCAAGACTGTTCTGCTGAGTATGTGCTTAGGTCAAGATTCAGCAGTTTATGAACTGCTCTTTGAATTAGCTGAATCAGAACTTTCCTGTCTTAATTTGCAGTCGGGGAAAGAGCTGCATTCTTCTACAGGAACATCATCTGGGGCATATTTTTCTTCAACATTTAGTTTTATTCATCCTGTACGCTTATTGTTAGCCTTCGTTATGGACGCAATGGTAGTGGAAGTGTGCATTCACAATATAATCTGGTGTGTAATCCATACACACTATTGAATTCATCGCCTTATCGTGTTCTCTACAAACTACAAGTAAGTCTAGTGTTGTTATTTCTTTTTTTTTGTGATTTTTTATGCAATATCGTCATTTGTGTTTTCTCGTGAGTGAAGCTTATATCATATTGACACATACTCTGAAATCAATACTGTGCTCCGACTGCACTTCACACTCCTCAGTAGTCGTCTGAATCAAAGATCGAAGGATACAAACAGATCTAAGATGGAGCTCCGGAAACTCTTTCTCTCCCTCAGTGTTGATGATAATGTAGTGCGGTGCAGATTGATAGGAAGCAACCAAAACTCAGATCAAAATTTTAAGTCAATGGCCGCAGAGATAGGGGAGGAGTGTTTATTCCTCAAGTATGGATTTAGGTTACGTTTTCGACGTGAAATAACCTCATTGGATAGTTTGTTTAACCTTAGATCGAATGCCAACCAATCAGATTTACTTGAGTATGAAACATTTTCATGTAATGTGTGCTAAGGACACGAAATTCAGTAAAAAGATTTATCTCTCTCTCTCTCTTTCTTCCTGACTACTTCACAACAAAGCCGTACAGTGATTTAACGGTTTGTATGTAAATTGCTTGCATGGGGCAGATATTATTGTCAGTTGGTAATAATAAAGGTGAATCAAAGTGTATGATTTGATAGTGTGAAATATTCCCATATCCCATGAATTAAAAGTCAATCTGAACGAAGAATATTCTTTTCAATAAGTTCTCCTCTTCAGATTCTTACAGTTATAAAATATAATATTTACTGTCGTTACAATAATGGCCAGTTATGCGGTGGGTACATTTTCGTTAACGTAGAAGAACAGATTAGTTATGGGGTGTCAAAATAAATAGTCGTATTTGTGTCAAAAACGTCATGCTAGGCTGAAATCGATTACAAAATATTTCGGTGAAATGGGAGACAATGGTGGTGATTAGTCATAATAGATTTGTAGAGTGTGGGGTAGGAAAATTGACAAGTCAGTTCAAGGTTATAAAAGGTGTCAGGTGAGTGGCTAGTACAAAGTGGTCTGTGTTAAACAGGAGAAAGTAAGACTGCGATGAAAAAGGTTCATTGTCAAATGAAACAGGTGGAGGCATATATTGAGAAAAGAGATAATATCACTAATAATAAGTCCAGATAGTATAAATGAAAAATTCGATAGTATTGAGAGAATGTTTGCATGAAGGGCATAAATTATGAGTTTTTTTTTTGGGGGGGGGTTTCCTTCACGTTCCCCAATGGAACATAGGGCTTTTAGCTAGTGACTTGAAGTTTCTGTAGCAGTGTTTATTTTACAGGATGGGGTTGCTAGCCTCATCCCCAACCTTTCCTCTTCACCAGCATTATTTCTGGCTTAGCGAGGTAAAGGAGTGCGTCGGCCGGGGATCGAACCCCGGACCATGTGCATGGTCGGCGAGCGTCCTAACCGCTATGCCACCGACGCACTATAAATTATGAGGAATAATAATAATATTAATAATAATGGTGATAATTGTAATAATAATATTTGTAATAATAAGCAAAGGAAAAGAAACCAAGAGGGTTAAGAGAAGGAGTGACAATGAATAATCTTGTGCAGGCGATATAGTGTGATGATGAATAGTTATAGTTATAGTTAGAGATAAGTGATGGGAAACAAAAGCACAAAGAATCGAAAACTAGTCATAAACGAACTACGCAGAGTTATACATGGCCGAACCAAGTCCACTTTTAACAGTTCGGTAATTAGGTATATTTATTTTTTTATTTTTTTTATTTTAGTATAGCTTGACTCAAAACAGTGTTTTCGACAGAAGTATGGAATTTTCAGCATGGGATATCGGTAGCCCAAATTTTGCAGGCCGACCGTTGATATCGGTTTTGCGTCGGCCGTGGATCGAACTTTGGACCATGTGCATGGTCGGCGGGAGTCCTAACCGCTGTGCAACCGACGCTGTTCATTATATTATAAAAGTTTCTGTATTCCCGAATGAATGAATAGCAAAACGATATTGTTTTTAATAACGTTTCGCCATTTAATGCTGATAATAGACTTGTCAAATTATTATTAAACCAGAATTGGATCGAGGGTTTCATCATGAGCTGACATCAGTTAGAGAATCATTGGAAAACCAGGGAGTACTGGACAGCTGTTTCGTCCTAGTTTGGGAGTCTTCGTCAGTACTCACCCACCGGGGTTCGAACCCAGGGCCTTCCAGTTACAAGACCAGTTCGTATACCACTCAGTTACTGCGACCCGATCCAATGACCAGTCCCTGAATTCTAACTTCTGCCAATTCATGACATAGTGTGACCACTTCGCAATGTCTTCTTCGATGAGTTGCTGCCTCACCTTCAACCTGCTGCACCCTACTGGTGGCGGCTTCCCACTAGAACCCCAGGTTAACTGCCTGAATAGGGCCAATCGCAAGTGGGCATTAGCTTATATAAGACAACTTAATTAACATCCTTCTGCATGGCGTAATTTTTACATTTTCAAGTTGACCATTTGGTAAAGATAACGAAACCAGGTGTAGATTGTTGGATTTGATAAGTATGTAAAATTATAAAAACAGCATGTGTTTACATAGTGAAATCGCTTATCGCATTCACATCTTTTCAAGGATACTCACGCTTCAAAATATGGTTAAGATACTTTGGTGATACTTTTGCTGTGCTAAAATGAGATTTACACAATGCATTCTTGGAGAAGCTGAACAACCCACCTCGCAGAATCCAGTTTACTTTGAAAGCAGAATGAGACGTGGGTGAACTACCATTTCTAGACCGTCTAGTTAAGAGGAGGGAAAACGGACATTTTAGTATATCCATATTCAGGAAGAAAACCCACTCCAACGAATATTTAGACTTCGGATCATCACATCCCATCAGTTCAAAGGTATCAGTTGTTTCAAGTCTTCTTAGACGAGCACACTCTCCTAAAAAGGATGAGAAAGAAAAGAAGAAGAAATATCAAACATTACTGAAACTCTCAAGTAAAACAACTAGCCAAGGGACTTCATCAACAAAATCAACACAGACATTAAGTATGGCCGAAACGCATTCCGAAAACATGGACCTCAACAGTTGTCATTCCATATAGTGCGGAGACATCAGACGATATTAGAAAAGTACTCAGTAAGCTCGACATCAGAGTTTTCTTCACAATATCAGACACGCTGAGAAGCGACCTTGTCCATATAAAAGACCAAATCCCGAAAGATTCTCTTTCTAATTGTGTCTATAAAATAAAATGCTTGCAATATGATGCGATATACATCGGATAAACATCGCCAGAGAAAAATCAAAGTCAGAAGAAATGAACACCGTAGGGTATCTATTCGACCAACGAGAAGTAAATCCTGTTGAACTAGAAAAGCTTGAAAAATCATCAGCCATAGGTCTACGCACTGTAGAATCAGGCCACAAAATTGATTTTGACAATATTGATATCATCATCCAGATAGATTGCAGAAATCACAAAGAACGTCTCAGATCATCAGAAGCACTTCATGTGATCAAGTGGAATCCAAACTGTCTGAATAGGAATGATGAACTAAAACAGAATTTGACTTGGTTACAACACACCCACCCTCCCCCATGAAATGACAAAATCAACACGAATGTGACAAGTAATTTCATTATGTAAACACACGCTGTTTTTGTAATTTCACACACTTATCAAATCCAACAATCTACACCTGGTTTTGTTATCTTTACCAGTTAGCCAACTTGAGAACAACATAAAAATTACCCCATGCTAAAGGATGATTAACTTGTAAATTCTGGTTTAGTAATACGTTAAACAGCGAAACATCAGTAAAAACAATATCGTATTATTTTTCATTCATTCGGGTAGACGAAACTTTTATAATAATGAATTACACAGAGATCATCATAAGATAAATCGGGAAAATGAAACTGGCACTGAAGAAATGGTAGCAAAAGAGGCTGGATAAAATATTTCCGGACACAAAGTCCCTTATAGATGGCTTCACCTTCGCTTGTGTGAAGAAGTAAGCATCATTCTTTTAACTGCCTCGATCTTTTTATGCATTCAAATAAATGACTTTGAACTAGGTGTCTGCTGATACTGCTCGACTAGAAGTTCTAATGCACTTTAGAAATGATATGTTGACTGGCCATCTGACACCTCTGTTAGCAGGTGTTCATGAACGTGTCTAGGACATATCGTGCTGATATGACCTGCGCATTTAACTCCACGGGAGCATGTGAACTGATTAATACTGAATAATAAAGTTACCGATAGTAGGATGTTATCTTTAACTTTCTGGTGGAGAAGGTGAGGTGTAGAGACATACCATCCCAATGAGAATTTCTCTGTTTTATAAATTAATATAATTTTTACTATTTATTTTCAGCTGCTTAGTTCCACACTAATTCCCGTGGATTCAACTCCATGGTGGGAAACATCTCCAGGATGTTTATTGTCACCACCGTCTGTAACTTGCTTTATTAACTATCCTTTTCAATCTAAAATTATCTCACGAACTTATAAATCTATGGAATAGATTTCAATGGGAAGTAATAAAAGATCAGGTGGAACAGTCAGAAGATCTTCTCAAACGCATTTATCACCAGTTGTAGTAAATGAGGACGAGTGCAAGTCTGATTGGTTTTTGTCTGTTGATGCAATAAATGTCAGCTCTCAAATGACCAATTCTACTTCAGCACCATCTTCACCGGTACTTTCATTACGTCGGAGTTTAAAAATATTTTCATCACTTGCACGTGCAAATGATGTGTTCTCATTGAAAGGCAAATCACAAAAACACGGTATGATTTTTTAAATATTTCACCTTTGTTCATTTCTATACTATAAATTTACTTTATTTATTGTGTTGACAATAAAATTAATCGAATAGAATGGGAAATTAATAAGGAGTGTGTGTACATCACAGTACTAGTTATGTCAGATTAAAAATTATCTTAGTGTCAAGTTAGTGTAACAATAGAAGACAAGGGCCAGGCAACAGATAGATTATTAAGGAGAATCAACACATATTTATAGATTTCAATGTACATTATTGTAGATTGTTGTTAGTAGGAAATACAGTCTTTTGATTGGTTGTTTCTCACAGAAAGTTAATCTTACATCTCTTTGTGGCTGTGTAAGATCATCCATATGCTAACTGTATCCGCCTACGCAAAGCCTTTGTTCTCATTTTCTCACCACCAATATTGGGGATATAAACATTGACGCCAATTACTGTCTACCAACTTTGGCTAGCAGCCAGCTCTCACCACAATAGTACGCATATATTGAACTGAATAACTCCGTCGCTGATTGATATGGTCACGTAGACTGACGACAGCTGATATGAATGAGTGGACTTATACGTGGGTATAATACTACTGAAGCAATGTAAAAATCAACTGATATGCTAAATACGACCGTTCACCCGTGGTACCCCTGACGTAAATATCAAACAACAACGACTGGTTTCTATGACTGTTAGGATACAACGTTTTTATTAGGAAAAACACGTCAAATTTATGTATATTTTTTAAACCACATTAAAATCTGATGCTCACTGGTGACTTGGAGGGATAGTCAGTCCCTTAAGACAACCATCCGCTTCGGTCTGGGTATCTCAGTGGTAATCCAGTCCTTTCACATATGCACGAATAGGTCTTGTGTGGTGCATTTCTTGGTGCTCACGATTTACCAATTTCGGCTTTTAATAATAATAATAATAATGGTGTTCAACTGTTGGTTCCCGGGGATTTGATCTGTTTGGTCACAGGATTTCATCATAATCTAACATTGATTAGAGAACCACTTGGAAAACCAACTGGGAGTACTAGGTGGCTGTTTCATCACCTAGTTTGGGAATCTCCAGTAGTACTCAACCACTGCCAGGGTTTGGACCCGGAGCATCCCGGTTACAAGGCAAGCTCGTAGGCTACCATTCAGATACTGGGACTGAATCCACTAGCCAGCCCATGAATTCCAACTTCTGCCAATTTACGCACGATATAGCTCAACTGGCAATAGCCAATGTCATCGGTGATGAATATTGTTTTCCTTACACCCTTTCTGCTGTACCACACTGGTCACGGCCTCCCGATCACTTGAAACCCACACTCGAATATCAATCTGATGTTCACTATTTAGGTACGTAGTTACCCCTGGGTTCTTCTAGTAGGATGCCATGACCAGTAGGGTACAGCAGGTAGGGTGTGAGGATAAATACTCATCACCGACGACATTGGCTAGTGCCAGTTACGCTACACATCGTGCAATTGGGAGAAGTTGAAATTCATGGGCTGATCAGTGGCTGAATAGTTGCCTACAAGCTCACCTTGTAACCAGAAGGCCCTGGATTGGAAGGTTTGCGGTGGGTGGGTACTACTGAGAAGCCTCAGACTAGTCTGACGAAACAGATGGCTGTCCAGTGCTCCCTGGCTGGTTTTCCAAGGTTCTCTAACCTATATGTGTGCGTCGGTGGCACAGCGGTTAGGACTCTCGCCGACCATGCACATGGTCCGGGGTTCGATCCCCCGCCGGCGCACACCCGATATCTATGGTAGGCCTGAATTTGGGCTACCGATATCCATGCTGAAAATTCCATACTTGTACTGAAAATACGGTGTGGAATCAAGCTGTAAATCAAAATAAAAAAATCAAAATAAAAAAAAAAAATAAATATATCAGCTCATGATGAATTCCTGTAAATGGCAATAGTGTCTTTAATGTTTATCATAAGAATTGTGAGGAGCTAGTATATTAAAGTCCTCATGCTATTTAGATGTTTGTTGTATTTTGAAATAATAATTGGTTTTTGCGAGAATTGCTGTGTGAGCATTGGGAAGCTGCTGTCTTAACAGAAAGAGATGAACTGACCAACATAAAGCGGGACATTAGCGTCCTTATTTACTTCTAAAAGTTTTACTACTTATTTTCAGAAAAAGTAATATGTTTTATTTCGATATAGTTTTACTCTGAAGTATATATATGATGAGTGGAACGAAGGAATTACAGTAGACTGTAATTCCATATTATACAATATCCACTGTCTGAATATTGCTAACTATTTCCCTTCAAATCAAAGATAATTCATGAAAATAACACAGCTGTCACAAACCGAAGCACAGTTGGCAGACCATCGTATTTTCAAACTTCCAATGCACTTCCAACATGGAATTGTTTTCAAATATCTTCGTAGACATATCGCGGTAAAATCCATGGTGGAGGAAATCGCTAGACTCTATTTAAGGTAAGAAAGGCACAGGGCTACTAAGAAAAGGATAACTGGTATGGGAGATGCGACTGACCAATGCAAGTGTGAATTCAGATTAATAGTAGACACTAAAGATTATGAAATTATAATTGAAATAACCAACAAGTCAAGCTCGTCTGGATCCAAAAATACTCAAATTAAGAAGCTCAGCAGGTTAACACATACGAAAACCATTTGATGAAAAGGGACGACTTTTCTGACAAGATACCATGAACAATAAAAAGAGAACGATTTATGCTTAACTCTCGACGACAGCATTACAGTTACATAAAGAACGAAAGTGCTTGTGAAAAGATTAAGCTGTTAAGGTGGGGAGGGTGGGGGGGGAATTAACAATAAACTAGGGAAATAAGACAACTACTTAGCACGTGTGAGCACAATGCGCTCTAACAGTCACGGGACTTCAGCCTTTTAGGACGCTAAATCTAGCTCCTATGGCGTGATAGAGATACATGTATAACGCGTTAAAATACGTTAAAATAGGAATAATTAATCTCTGAATTCTTGTTCATTAAATGTACAACCATGTACTACGATAGGAATAACACAGCACACTATGGAAAACAGTGTTATAAAGTGAAGGGATTAGAATTACATGAAGCAAGCCAGAAAGTTGTGTGAATGTATCTCGACATGAGTGGTAGCTACGAATTCTGTCCAAAATATCATGCAGTTGTTAATTTATTGTATCATTACCAAACAGGCCTATTCAACGTGGTTTTGTAAAGATAATCAATAAATCGCGAAGTGCACAGTGAAAATGGGCAATGAATTCATCATATCAATAGCTGTACGTCAGTGGTACAATGGTAGAATGTCCGCCAATCAGGTAAATGGTCTGAGTTTGATTCTCCGCCACCGACGCATTTCTGAACCTTGCATAGGAGGTGGTAAGCCCGGTAAAGAGGAAAGGGTGAGCGTGGTGTTAGCTACCTTACACCCTTACAACAGCATCACTAACGTTGAAACTTAATAGTTCAGACTTGAAGCTCTGCGTTCTACTCTACTCTTAACTCTAAGGGGGCGAGAATAACAGAACTGATTGCTTTGAATGTAAAGTTGAGTAATATTCAAAACGATATTTAAGAGAAGAAATTATATATAGACGGTGATTTTCATTCCATATTAGATAAGCTTATTTCAAATATCACATCCTGTGATACAGTATTAACAACTGGGTGATCCTGTTAAGTTAAATCTGTATAGTTCTGCTTTACGTAGGATCATCAATGAAGCTGGAATTAGGATGGCATTTAAACCAACCAACCAACCAACCAACCAACCAACCAACCAACCAACCAACCAACCAACCAACCAACCAACCAACACTCTCAGAGATAAACTTTGACGGCTTATGGACTCGATAGATCCAATCATGAAAAAAATATATAATTTACCAACTACCATATAATGAATTCAAGTTCAATTACATAGGTCAAAATTGTAGATCGGGGTCAACTAGATTATTGGAACATTATCGGAATTTGGCTATACCTAGAATGATTGACTCTGCTAAGTTAAATAACCTAGTATAAACAGAGCTCAGCTATTGCATTGCTTTCAGTTGCATGTAATCGCTTAATACGAGGTGGGTGGGACAAGATGAAAGTATTAAAAAGTAATAAAGTTAGGTGGAGAGAGAGAAGTTAATCACCCAATCTTTGCTTATCGATTCAACACCGCACATGTACAATTTGAGTAACACGATACCTATACCGGAGATATGGAAAGTGGCAACAAACAACAAGGGGAAGAGGGAGAGAGCGAGAGAGAAAAGTATCTACAAGACAAATTATGAAGCGGTGTGACTAAGTTGAACAATAAATTGTGCTGGAAACCTTGTCATCCAGTTGTTATTACTGCATCACTGTGTGTGATATTTAAAATAAACTTATCTAGTATGGAATTGCATTCTAGCACAGTGTCCAAGTTCTACACTTATATTATCAACGATTTCCGACCGAAACGTGATCTTGAGATAAAAATTAATTACAAAGAAACATAAAAAGTGAAAACATCAACAGATTCTAATATCTTTACTCATCCTATTGTTTCTCCATTAACATTATCTAATTTTTCCTCTTTGTATTTTTTTCTCCCCTCATTAGGCTACAAAAGATTTAAGTATGGGTGCTGATGGCCAACTTATTGAATATCTCGAGATATTGGTCCAGTTACTCGAAAGGAATTTAACTCCATTCTTCACTTAATCGCCGTGTAAAAATGTGAATGCATGCAAAAAGAACACATCTCCATTTCCCTTGATATTTCGTTCGCATCACACGCATTGTCATTTCGACACAAGCGAAGGTGAAATCCTATTGCACAAAGTATCACATAATACAGCAGTGGATAATCCATATTGGTGGAGACGTGAAATACGACATTTGTGCCTACAGATGATTGCCTCTTTACTCAATCCAATCACTTTAGGCGATGTCAATAATAACGGTAGTAGTAGTAGTAGTGATAATAATAATACCAGTGAGTTTACAATAGCAGGTAGGTAAGGAGTTGTACATTCCTTTCCTATGATTTATTATACA